AGGACATTTGTACATTGACAGAGAGAGGAAGTGCTGTCAACCAGAGGGAACATTTTCCAAGAAAACAAAGGACTACAGTATTTTGTACCTATGCACTATCTATCGATCTATGAAACATACAATAACGGTAGTCCCTGTGAATAATTAGAGTTCAGCGCCACTGTCTGTGATTTACTTATTCATTTACAATTGGCAATAGAATTACATTCTTTAACATGAAGTGGCTGCCAAAGGAATTAAAAGAAGATTGAAAGCCTCGTGGCATGAAACCACATTTTGGCCCGCTATCAACAAGACAACCACCTAGGGCTCCAAATACTTAATGCCTGCCTGTGGTCGAACAAGATTCAGTCGCTGGATTACTTGATCAACGGTACATTAATTGGACTCAGCTTTGATTTTTGTTAGTGAACATGTTATGCTTTTCATTTGCTGGTTTATCACAATGCAAGGATTTGCTTGGTTTGTTTTATGTGGGTTAGGGTAGGTTGCTGGTGAGACTGGCAGTTGTTTATTTGTTTGACATCTCATAGACTCAATAACTATCAGATAAATCAGAAGAAAGTAAATTAATTGTAAACTGTAGCCTATAGGTAAAAGTGCATTTGCCATTTCCCCTAATATGTATGTTGAGGGATCTGTACTCACTGAGCCACCTATGTACTTTCCCCCCAGCTGCTGGATTCCCTGGACCAGAACTCTCTTCTTCTCTTGGATCTTGATCCCAGAGATCTGGAAAACAGGTGTGAAGCTCGCCATCTTGAGAGAAAATTGCAATAGAGACAGAATGTGGGTTAATAGGCAAGTTATATGTTGAGCATTGACTGTAGATCTTGAGTGAACTCCTGCAACTCACTGAGGGACACAGTCTTGCATTTCTTGTTTGACTACATGACTTGGATTGCTTTCAATTAACTGTTGGCAAAAAACTGGAAGGGGAGCTTTTGCATTATTTGAACTTGAACATGATACTTTGGGTTGTTTGGGAATTTCACTTGACTAATCCAGTTAATTACACAGTTTGGGATCAGGTTACTTAAAACGAAACAATATGGGTGTGCACCTTTCTGCAATATGAACTGCTTTTTTTTATGAGCTTGTATCTTTACAGTATTATAATCTGCACTGGCTCTTGCACATTCATCAGTATTGCATTCCCAGTTGTCACAAACACAGCTGACAGATCATCAGTTACAGTTTCTCATACCACAGAGGATGACTCCTTGTCCTCCCAGTTACGTACAGGCGCGCCAAAACACTGACGCTGACATCGACGTCCAACAGCGCGAGCAGTGCTTTGTACCAATGTTTGGCTGCTTCTTCCAAAAAATATGCTCAACTTCACGAACAGACATAAATGCCAACTTTTCTCATTAGCATTAATAAACGCTCGATAGGTCTAACATCCTTACGTGAGTTCACCGCCCAACTACCATGTGTTGACAGCTTCACGGCAGAACTATGTGGGCGGGGGGGGGGGGG